CATTACTGAATGCTTATCTCATATACATGTGCACTGCCAATTGTAACTACTCTAGACTGTTCCTTTTGGGACCCTCTGTTGTTCACAATATATCTTGTGACCAAGGGATGGTATGTATCCTAAATGACTTATTTGTGTTCATGTTCACAGAAGAAACCATTACAAAGCTTCACAATGCAGAAGTAGAATTTCCAAGGAAGGACAGGGAAGCATTAAGAATGATTAGAAATTACATCTAAAGGCATATATAATAGGCTGAGAGAACTAAAATATTTTTTAATATAGAAAAAGTATAAGGATACCTCTGGGACTACTTACTGGCAAGAATTATATTTGTAGTGGATGCAAATTTAAAGGGTTTCTAGGAGTGTGGAAAAATATTAATGGGGTTAAATTTGTGACTTTCCTTTGATAGCAACAAATTATGAAAAATCTCAAATTTCGTAACCTTCCTTAATTATCGTTGGCATAAACCATTGTGTCAGTAATGTCATCTTTAGAGGCTCTGCCATCAGTGGCAGCCATTGCGAAATTCCCTGTGCAGAGTTGTACTGTGATCATTATAGGAAGATTTTTTTAATTTAGTGTGTTCCCTTATCTACTGCATTGAAACACATCACTGTTAGGTCTAAAATTGGATTCCCTTAGACTTTACCATTGTGCCGAGGCAACAGAGGTGGGGCAGCGGGGAATTTACCAAAAGGAATACTCATTTGGTTTCCTTCTGTCATGTTAGAAATCGCCACATTTTGCAACAGGATAGTTACTGTCAAGTGCTCTGGGATGCTTACTCTGCATGAGGGGTGCTATATAAATACAGTGAGCCAGTTTGGACAGTGGAAATGCAAAGGGATCTGCTGAATAGTGGAAAAGTGAGTAAGACTGTATTTTGGGGTTGAAATGCTGAGATGTGAAAATGGATGAATATTCTGGTTGTGCAAAAACAGTCAGTTTCTGGGTACTGTAGAAACTGTTGGATGGATCCTACTGTATGCAATAAGAAAGTATATACAGTCCAGCAAAAGCAACATTGCTTTACTGGCTTACAGTGTCGGTCTAAGCCATTTGTTGTGGCCTTTATTTTTTTCAGCAGATTTGAAAGCATGTCTTCATAGAAAAATTTGTTGGAATGTAGAATGTGCTGCCACGAAGGCTATAAATGCAAAATTGATTGAGATAATTAAAAGGAAGATGGGTACTTGGGCAGTAACCGTATTAAGGGATATGTAGAAAAGGTGGGAATTGAGATTGAAAGATCCGCTATGATTTTGAAGGTTTCGGCTGGCTCGGTTGGTAACACTCAACAACAGCTTCAGCAATTTGTATTTAAATAGCACCTTTTATGTAAGATGATTCTCGCCTCTGCATCAGAGGATTCAAGCCCCACTGTGAAGAACTGAGTTTGTGCATCTTAGCTGGTCGCACTGTAAGTCAGAGCCTGTGGATTCAAGCCCCATATTGGAACTCATACAGCTGCAGGTGTGCTGCAATGCTAGCAGTGCTATCCTTAGATTGAGAAGTTTAACTGAGGTTCATGTAAAAAGGCTCTAAAACAAATGCAGCGATTACTATTCTTAATAAAATAGTAGATCAAGCTCAATGGGTAAATGGTCTTCTTGTGTTCCTATCTGTTTCTACTGTTCCTTTATGCCTTGTCGTAACTATTCCTTATTTCAAGGGCTGGTACATCTGTACTGAAGGTGTATTTACAACTTTCAAAATAATAATAAAAAATGTAAGTGAAAGTTTGTTAGTCAATTTTATAACAACATCCTTTTTTCATCATAGACCTATTTTTTTGAAAAACTAGTATTACTGGTACAAGCATCGTTTTACCACAGCTTTCTCGTTAGTGAGATTGATAAGGAAATAGAATCATGTTTAAAGTCTGAAGGTGAACAAAAATGTCTTGGCAAATGTTTTGTTTGAATGAATGCTATGATGTTCTGAGTTTTTTTTATAGATCTTGAAACAAGAAATAAAGCATCTCCATTCATTGGCTATTGATTTCTGTAATGAGTTTCAAGAAAAATGCAAAACAGTCCTGAAGGAAGTTGCAGCTGTCTGCACAAAGCAAGATTTACACACTACGGATGTGAATAGTAAGCTAGAAATTTTAAAATATTTTCTAGTTTTAGCTGACAAATATAATTTTAATTATTTTCTACTATACCACAAGAATCTTGCATAAGGGACTGGGCTATACATTGAGTTTACATATTAACATTTAATTTCTGGATTGTAAATTTGACTCCACCCCATTGTGATATGATTAAAATCTTCTCTCTGTTACCTGAAATGGTTATTTGAAATGGTTAATTGAACTGAGTATAGATAGAATCAACCCATTTCAAGGTGCTATCTTGGCTCTGTTGTAACACTTGCATTTTTTAGTCAGAGGCTGTGAGTGTAAGTAAGCCTCACATCAGGACTTCATCTCAATCTAAGCAGGCACTCTATTGCAGTCCTGGGTGAGCTTTGCATTGTCAAAGTGCCATCTTTTGGATGAGATGCTTGCCTGTTCTAAGTTAGTGATCCCATGACACTACTGTGTTTGAAAAGAGAAGGGAGTTTCTTCTGGTTTCCAGGTCAACAATCCTCTATTAATTGGCTATTCATCTCATAGCTGTACCAAAATTACTGTCAAGTTTCCCAAACAAATGATGAATTAAATGTTACATAGAAAGTACTACCAGTATTTATTTCCTTTAACAGTGGTGCTGTCAGTAAGTCTGCTCTGTATAAGGTGATTCCTGGCTATTGCCGGTAACAGGTAAAAAGCCAACTTACAGTCTAATGCTCTGATAAATGATTTTATAAAAATATTGCTCTAGTTGGAAGACTACGTTTTGAAATTAGTTTCTTGCTTTCTTTTAATTATGATGTGTCTATGACTACAGAGCTCCAAGGACAAATCCTTGAACTTGAAAAGTCTTTTCAGGAAGTTAATGGGAGATATATTATGGAGAAGCACAAACGGAAGATGCTTCACAACTCTCTGATTGTAAGTACTTGATCATACAGTGCACTTTGATCTTTTTTTTAAACAGACATTGTGCTATTTGAAAGTTGTTATATAAATTGTTGTATAATTCTACTATTAATTGAAAGCAATCCTGAGGGATACTTTTAGTTTTTTTGTACGTCAGTTGTAAACTATAGTCTTCTATAAAAACATTTTTAATTTTAGGAATTACGTGGGAATATTCGAGTCCACTGCAGGGTGCGTCCACCTATGCCATTTGATGCTGGTAGCAGTGATGAGAGTTTGCTGGAAAGGTAACATTTTTTTGTTGTTTTAATTCTTTCTCAAATTTATAGCTTATGGTCTATCTATTTATGTTTCTTTGCACCACTCCCCACAAACCGCATGGAACCATCCAGCTGAATAGTGGTTGCAGAATATTTCCTTATGTTCTGCAGAATCCCAAAGCAACTTGTTATATTTCAAGAGTGCTCTGAATTCAGAAACTAATTTCAATACGTAGTCTTCCAACTAGAACAATATTTTTATAAAATCATTTATCAGAGCATTAGACTGTAAGTTGGCTTTTTACCTGTTACCAGCAATAGTAAGGAATCACCTTATACAGAGCAGACTTACTGACAGCACCACAGATTTAATCACAATTAAAATGTTACTGTCAGGTGCAAGTGCAAATGAACCAATTCTACTGCTGAATGCCTTTTCCACTTTCACCAGCTGCAGCTGTTTCCTGGTTGTGGGTTGTTGAGTGCTTTTATTTCAGAGCTTGGGTGGGAATTCGGACAATCTCTTTCCGTTTGCTTGCTACTTAAACAAGAAAGAGGACCAATACACCTCAGCAAAATGTACTCGCTCATCATTTGTGTCCTCTTCCGCAGCAGGCTCCGTGACCCCATTACACCCACCCTCCACCAGGGTCCACTGGCTCCCCATTCCTCAGAGGATCAAGTTCAAAATCCTCATTGTCACCTTCAAGGCTCTCCACGGCCTTGCCCCCTGCTACCTCTTCGAGATGCTAACCCCTTATTAACCTGTCCACTCCCTCCGCTCAGCCTGCTCCATGTTCCCCACCATCGGCGGCCGGGCCTTCAGCCTCGCTGCCCACACCCTCTGGAACTCCATCCCACAATCCCTTCGCCTCGTTCCCTCCCTTGCCTCCTTCAAGGCACGCCTCAAGACCTTCCTCTTTAATAATCCTTGTATTTGATATAGCGCTTTTCACGTCGGGAGGACGTCCCAAAGCACTTCACAGAACACACTGTAAAGTGAATTGACTGTATATTTGTGGGTGAACGCGGCAGCCAATTGCGCACAGCAGTGTCCCACAAACAGTCGAAGATTGAAAATGACTAATTTATTATTTTTTTTTGTTTTTTGGAGGGATTATTATTAGGCTCTGTGTGGAGTAAGGAAACTTGCCCAAGGTTTTGCCCTGCCTGGAATTGAACTCAGGTCTCTTGCTTGCAAAGCGAGTGCTCTAACCACTGAGCTACAGGACTCCACTCTTTGACCATGCCTTCAGGCACCCTCTCTGCCCTCCACCCTCCCTGATCCCAACACCCCTCCCACTACTCAGGGCCTAATGACCCTGACTGTTCAGCACCTTGGGACGTCCTGACGTGAAAGGCGCTTTAGAAATGTAATTTTGTATTGTGTTCTGCCATATCAAGCCATGTGTAACGTAACTATGGAAAGACGTATAAATCTGGAGTAGTATACAGAGCCACAAAAAAGATGTCTGGAGCCATCTGACTCTCGAGAGTCAGATGTTTGTCTTGTAAAATATGAGGAATCCAAGAACTGGAAAATATACTGCCCAATGACGGAAATTTGTGAAATCTGGAACTGATCAGAGCATTTTGATTTCTAATGAGGAAACTTATTTTGGAGAATTATTTTGGACAAACTACATATTTAGTTTTGTGCATTCATCACAACAATTTATATAGCATCCTTCAAGTAGAATAACATCTCAGCACTTTACAGAGACCATTTTAAACACAGAGCACAACCCATGATCAGGAGACAGCAGCAGCCGGTAATAATGAAAGAGGCAGTTGGAGGTAGAAATGGTTCCAAGACCATTCAAGGCAACGCAGAGGAAGAGAAATTTGTACACATCATTGTAAGTTTGGAAATGTGCTTAAACATTTCATGACTTGTGAAGTGCTTTCAGATAATAACAATCCTTGCATTTGATATATATGGAGCCTTATTGCATTATGGAGACATCAAAAAGCGCTTCACGGGATATACTGTAAAGTGCACTGATTGTGTATTTTGTGGGCGAAGGGCAGCACAGGAATGTCGCGCAAACAGCCATGTAGTGAGTGACCAAATTTATTTTGAATTTTTTTTTTGATTTTGATTTGAAAAACAACAGCGTCGAAAAAATGCCAGTAAATGCCAGTACTGGCATTGTAATACACTTACTTGTAATTCCGGCTCGCCAGACCAGATCTCTCACCCCTCCCCCATTGATCCGGCCAACCGGAGTTTCACTATTTGTGAAACCTTTTATATAGTACTTTTTATACTTCAATAGACAAAAGCAATCAACAATTATAATTTGGACTAGGTAAATCTAATTCCCTGATATTCTATTACTGTGATGTTTTATAGGTCTGGAACAGCATCAGAGAAGGTGATTCATGTGGTTAATGATGTGAGTATCGCAACATCAATGTTGCCTAACTGTATTCTTACTGCAAAATTACATTTTTTATTACCATTTCATTGTATTATCGCTTTTAGTTTTGGAAATCCTGCTATCATGACTAAGAGACAATTATGTTCTGAGGAAAAGGTTCACCCAGATGTCACCAGGCCATGCATGAATAGTTTGTAGTTGAACTGAATACTTTATTTTTTAAAGGGAGTTTAAAATTTTGAAAATTTCTAATGGAATTCCTTGAAAATCAATCCCAATGGAGACTCTTTCCAGTAACTAGAAGGACAGTAGGGAACTTTGTTCCTAATGAGTATTGTGTCAGTGTTCCCAGTTTCCTTAATGAGGAATCATGTTAGAAATTGCTGCATATTAGACTGTATACAGTGGTTTCATTACTATTGGAATATTCAGGCCTGGAATATTCCTTATCCCCCAAACTATAGCTAAACGTGTAACTACTCATAAGTTATTAGATCATATCTTGTAGGAAGTAAATTGTGCCCTACAAGTCATCTTCATTATCTGCAATGTGTCTTGTGTAAATTGTGGTCCTTGACGTCAAGTAAATATTTTGCATGATCATACAAATGTTGATAATGTGTTCTATTTTTTTGCTCCTTGCATTGCTCAACAGCATCATCTATAGGCCATATATAATGAAACAGGATGAATTAACAACTGCTCACTTTTATATATAAGCATTTAAAAGGCACAGGTGACTGGAGAAAATTGTTGTTCTAGTGTGCACTAAAATTGCAATGTACAACTTCAGCAGTATTATTGGGTTATATAAAAACAAAACGCCAAATACTGCAGATGCTGGAAATCTAAAACAAAAACAGAAGTCACTGGGAACACTCAGCAGATCAGCCAGCATCTATGGAGAAAGGAAAGTGAATCAACATTTCGGGTCCATGTTCCTTCATCAGAACTGGGGCATGTGAGGAGGGAGAGGCTTTTAAGGACTAACAGAGAGGGGGAAGGCAGGGCAAGGAAGACAAAGGAAAAAATGGGTTAAAATGAGTTAAACAGATGTTAATGATGCAAAACAAAGTGGGGGATTGCAACAAAATGGAGAAAAGAGGTGTTAATAATGAAAAACGAGGTGGGGTTGGGGAAATTGCAACAAAATGGGCTGACCAGAGAGAAAAAGGGTGTGTCTGGGACCCAGATGATGTGGTAATGGTCTCAGAAGAGGGGGAGGGGGAAGATGAGCTGTTATGGTCTGAAATTATTGAAATCAATATTGAGGCCAGAGGGCTGTAAGGTCCCTAGCAGACAGACGAGGTGCTGTTGCTCGAGCTTGCGCTGTAGCTCATTGGAACAGAGTAGGAGACCATGGATGGAGCGGTCAGAGTGCGAGTGGGAGGGAGAGTTGAAGTGGCAAGAAACCAGAAAGCTCAAGGTTGTGCTTGCGGACAGAATGGAGGTGTTCGGCAAATCGATCACCAAATCTGTGTTTGGTCTCCCCAGTGTAGAGGTGGTCTCCTGTACACCTCTGCATCTACTCCACTTCGCCCCTTCCCTTGCCGCCTTCAAGACCTGCCTCAAGACCCTTCTCTATGACCATGTCTTCGATCATTCTTCTTCCTTTTTTGCCCTCCACCCTCCCTGATCCCAACCCCCAGCTTGGATCCGAAACACTGATTCTCCAGCGCCTTGGGACGTCCTCCCAACATGAAGGGCGCTATACAAATGTAATTTTGTTGTTGTTTTACAAAAACAATTGTGTTAAACTGTTCTAGAAATATCCAGTTATAATAATCCTTTCATTTGATATATAGCGTTATCTTGTTATCAAATTTTAGTTGAATTGTATCATATTTTAATAAATTATATTGCATAATATTTGTTTTTTATTGTAATTTTACACAATATATTCTTAATCTTTTTTGTAGGAAACAGTTCATGTTAAATACAACCGTCCCAGTCAACCAGCAGTGAACAAATTCTTTGAATTTGAACGGTAAGTTATCAGAGTAAGATAATTTACTGGTTAAATGGCATTTCTTCCCTATTCGTTCATCTCCACATACAAATGGATTCTCCCTCGTCAATAGTAGAGAAACAGCAATGAACACATTCCCTCTTAGGAGGTCTTTTGTGTAGTCAACTGCACACATAAACAGGGTGATCAAAAAATCGTGATATCTACCCTATTATTTAAAAATAAACAAAAGACATTGTAATGGTAACGACTTTTTGGTCACCCTGTAGTTCCCATCGGTTGTATGTAAGTTGACCTTGTTCTTTGACTGTTTAACAATGGCTCATCTCCAGCAAAGACATGCTTACTACTCTCTGTTTCAGTGTTCACAGCTTGAATTCTTCCGTCTTGGATCTTTTGAATAGGCTTTATCTACGGTCAATATTATTTACCACTTTCATAACAATAATAATAATCCTTGCATTTGATATAGCAATTTATCACATCTTCGAGACGTCTCAAAGTGCTTCACAGAATATACTGTAAAGTGAATTGACTGTATATAATGTGGAAGAAATGCACAGCAGTGTTCCATAAACAGTGTTGGATTAAGTGACCAAATTACTATTATTTATTTTGAAGGAATTATTATCCCCAGAATGTGAAATCCAATCCAGGTTCAGCAAAATGATCTGTTTTGGCTGTCTGATTTGCTGTGAGGCAATCTTTGTCACAATGGTCACCCTTAATCTGCACATGGAGAGATGTTAAGTTCAGGTTTCCCTATGGAAATCCAGCTTCAGCCCGATTTCAAACCAATTTCACCTTCAAGGCCCTTGATGTTCTTGCTCAACCCCTACCTCTGCGACCTCCTAACCCCCTACCATCCTGCCCACTCCCTCCGCTCAGCAGGCTCCTGCCTGCTTCATGTCCCCGCCTCGCCTGCCCTACCATTGGCGGGCGGGCCTCCTGCCACTCTGCCCCCACCCTCTGGAACTCCATCCTGCAGTTCCTCTGCCTTGCCCCCTCCCGTGCCTCCTTCAAGACCCTCCATTTCGACCGTGCTTTCGATTTCCCACCTTCCCCCCCCCCACCCCGCCGCCCTCCCCAATCCCGACCTCAAGCTCGGGTCCAAAACACTGACTTTGCAGCGCTCTGGGATGTCCTTCCAACGTGAAAGGCGCAATACAAGTGTAATTTTGTTGTTGTTGGTTGAAACCGCTCCCAGGAACAATCTAAAATCGTAGGACAAATGAGCTGCTTTCTACATTGGGTTAGAGATATCTACGTCCTCCAAAGCTCAGACAAGCACCTCCAGCTCCAGACCTAAAATCTATATTTTTAAGTTTAATATATAATATGGTGTGTTTTGAGTTTCGCCCATAAAATATACAGTCAATTCACTTTACCGTATATTCTGTGAAGGGCTTTGAAACATCCCGAAGATATGATAAGGCATTATATCAAACAAGGATTATTATTTTATTATTAATTTCACAGCTAAGCATATCTCGGATGCTATCTTATGACTAAAGTATAACAATTTAAAAGGCATTATAAGAGGAAAGGCAAACAGAGAAGACAGATTGTATTAGCAATTTCGAGAGGAAGCTAGTTATGTGGCAAGAATTTGGTTAAAGGAAATGAGTAAAAATAGTGCAGGATTGTTGTGCACAAAAGTCTCTAGAACAAATTTCAGGGTACTTAGGCTACTGTTATATCTCCTAAACTAGGGGTTCTTCATCTGGCACACCATTGAGGTATCCTGCCAGGAAGATAGTCAGATGGCTTTTTGCATTCCTGTTTATTTCTGCCCAATAGCTAGCAATTTATTTTGTCTCATGGCTGAGAAATATTCAAGAATATGTTTACCTTATTGTGATTTTATTTTAAAATTCTGTGATGCTTTTCACAACTCTCACAGCTTTTAACACTGTTGTTTCATCCCTCTTGTACGATTGCATCAATTCCCAGCCCTAAAGTTGTTTCCCAGTTTTATTTGGAATGAGATTCATTACACCCTTTTATCCTTGGCAGCCACAACAACAACAACTTATACAGCGCCCTCCACGCATAGTCGCGTCTCAGAAAGCTTAAATAGAACCTCGAGAGACAATACCACTATTGAGATTCAGGGTCCCTTGTTAATCACACCAAAGAAACCATCTCAAATTGTTCATTCCATATTACCTACACTAAGTGATATGGATGGCAGAGTTCTGAATGAGCTGGATCTTTTGCATAGTGGAGCTGGGGAACCGGCGAGCAGTGCGTGTCAGTAATCCAGTTGGGAGGTGACAAACTCATGCACAAGGATTTTGACTGCATTTGGGGTAAGCTATGGTCGGAGGCGACAATGTGGCGGAGGTGGAAGAAGGTGGTCCTGGTCAGATGTGGGGGAGGAAGGACAGCTGGGGGGTCAAACCGGATGCCTACATTGCGCACTGATTCGGTGAGTTTGAGAGAGAGCCCAGGGAAGTTGAGGAGTTTAGATCCACAGGAGTGAAGATGTTGATAGGAGCCAAAGAGTATGGTTTCTGTCTTGTCCACATTCAGCTGCAGGAAGTTTGCACTCATCCAGGCCTTGATGTCCCTGATGTATAGAAAACCCTAAAATAAACCTAAATACGTGGTTAGTTGAATGTACAGGTATTTTGCATTGTTTTCCCTTATGTGGGAGAGGCCTTTTTCAAACGTTAAGGCCTGTTCCATTCAGTGATTACCAGTATAATTGTTGTAGGTTACTTACTCACCAACTTCCATATACAAAGGCTTCTGCAAATGTGGTTGTGGTTTGTGTATAGTTCAGCTTTCATGAACCAAACTCGTAACTTCTAATCTTAATTTATAGGTAATATGCAGAAATTAGTTTCTGCTCCCACTGCCATGAATACTTTCGGTTCCTTGAATGCACAAAAATAATATTCCTTGTGATAATTGCATTTGACAAACTGCATTTTGTTCCTATTGTGGGTATAACATTTCTCTTCTGCAACAGAGTTTTTGGTCCTGATGATTCTCAGAAGTCTGTGTTCCAGGAAGTGTGCCCTCTACTTATCTCCTTATTAGATGGGTAAGTACATTATATACTTGGGCAGCCTTTAGGTTGTTTTTGCAGAGTGTTTGTAAACAACAAAAACAACAACAAAATTACATTTCGAAAGCCCCTTTCACATCAGGAGGACGTCCCAAGGAGCTGAACAGTCAGGGATCAGGAACCGAGCGTGGTAGGATAGGGATGAGGGAAGGCAGAGAGGTAGGAGGGCAGAGAGGCTGAAAGCCCAGCCACCGATGGTAGGGGGGTGATCGGGCGGGAGACCTGGAGCAGGCCGGAGCCTGCTGAGTGGAGGGAGCGGACGGGTTGATAGGGAGTTAGTAGGTCAGAGATGTAGGAGGGGGCAAGGATTTTGAATTCTATTCTCTGAGGAATGGGGAGCCAGTGGAGCTGGGCGAGGGTGGGGGTGATGGGGTCACGGAGTCTGGTGCGGGAGAGGGCATGAGCTGCAGAGTTCTGGATGATCTGCAGTTTGTGGAGGGAAGAATTGGGGAGACCGTCAAGGAGTGAGTTTCCATATTTGAGCCTTGAGGTGACGAATGCCTGTATGAGAATTTCAGCGGCCTGAGAGGTGAGGAAGTGGTGGAGTCAGGTAATGTTGTGGAGATGTGGGAAGACAGAGCGAGTCACGGCACGGATATGAGGGAGAAAAGACAGTTGAGGATCGAACAAGATGCCCAGGTTGTTCAATGCTTAAAGGTGTGTCACACAAAATTTAACTTAAACCATTTTAAAGGTGAGTCACATAGTTATTGCAAATCAGCCGGCAGTGGTAACAAAACATCTGCTAAATGTTTAGCAAACTGCAGGCATTTTAGTGACTTTCGACCATCCTCACGCTGGTAACCTCATAATTTCTGAAACTGGAATTGTTAAGCACAAAGGAGTGCTGAATAACCACTGTGTGTGCATTGTTTTGCATGATCCATTCTGTACATTATGTACTGTGATAGTGCTTTCAATTGTTCTTTCATTTATAAGAATGGGGTTTAGGTTTTGCTCTTGGCTTCAGTGCTCAGACATTCACAAAAGAACATGAGTGTCATCAATTGCATGGCATCGTGAGTGGAATTTCCCCTGCCTTCTAAGTCAGTAGGGCCAAATGACCTCCCCTCCTACTTAAGTTTCTGTTTCAAAGCTTTTTTAGCTTTGGAGCTCTTGAGTTTCCAAACAAGCAATGGGCATAATTTGTCTTACTTTCAGGTCATCCAGGTTAGCTAACAACAATGGTTTTGTTCAATGCCAAGATTATGAAGGTAGAATAAATATTAGGTGTAAACCTAGACCTGAGTCTAGAAAATTACAAAAAAAAACCTATGTGAGTTCATTTTCTGCATTATTAATCTTATTCAACTGTTGGTAATATGGAATTGGGAGTCTTGTCTGAAACGTATGATGAGGTTCTTGGACTAACAAAGAATATAAGCATTCTGACATATTGAAGTAAAGTTTGTGACCTTTTTAGTGTTTCTTGAGTTAACACCAGGATTGTTTGGACTGGTATTCATTAACATTACATCAATTACGTTTTTTTTATATTATCTTGCGGGCAGGATGGCCCAAATTTGATTCCTGCGGCAGGCGAGGCATTGCGCAAGTTTCCATACTCCATACATGTGCCTCTGTTCACCTAGCAGTTAGTGGGAGCTCGCTTGTTGGTTGATTGGCAGATCACTTTTCCGGGGGTAATAATTTAAAAATAAATAAATAAATATTAGTAATAATAATTTGGTCACTCAATCCACGACTGTTTGTGAGGAACTGCTGTGCATAATTGCCTGCTGCATTTTGCCCACAAAATACACTCACTCCACTTTACATTAAATCCTGTGAAGCGCTTTGAGACATCTGGAAGACGTGATAAGACGCTATATCAAATGCAAGTATTATTATTATTAAACATCTTTTAGTATTTGTTACTCACACACAACACAATTATATAAATGGCTTTACAGCTCAAAGAATGAGTATGTTCTATTCTGGACCAAGTTCTGAGTAAACTAAACTGAGTAAATATGTAAATGTTGCAACCACAGTATTTTTAATTCAAATGTAAATATGATAGTGCTGATAGATAGCACTGTCACATACTTCTGATAACGACAATTTACATTTATATACATGTATATATATTTTCACACTAGGAGGATGTTTCAAAGTACTTCACACTGGGAGCCTGAGTGGGGGGTGTGAGGGGTTGAGGTGGGGAGAGAGAATGAAGCTGGGGGAAGAAGATGGCCAAAACACAGGTCTTAGGTGTTCTTTTAACACAGTATCTTGATAGATGGTGGCATATTTGCACATTGAGTCTAACAATGACAGAAATTTCATAAAACCTTGTTTTATACCTTATTGTATTCCAGGTACAATGTATGTATCATGGCATATGGACAAACTGGCAGTGGCAAGACACATACCATGTTAGGCCCACATTCTGAGGACAACTTTACTGTATTCACTGAACCTCAGTTAGATGAAGGAATTATCCCACAAGCTGTCCGGGAGTTGTACAGGTATTAAAGTGTTTAGCAGCATTTTATTTTCTCAGTAATGTTGACAATGTAAGAAATTTGATAAACCGTACGAAATATGGAAGAGGAAAATGTTTGCAGGTGCAATTTCAAATGAACTACAGTTACTCTGAAAAGTTTTCCTTGAGAAGCTTTTTGCTGATTGAGAGTAAAAACGTCTTTGGTATCTTGAATGTCTCTTTAATCTGCACCTTATGTAAACTTGTACTGATTTGTATCATTGTGATATTTCTTATTAGAGGTAAGACATTTCTCAGTGGTTTTAACCTCAAAACTTTCATCTTAAGATACAGTAGAGAGTCTTTTAACTTCACTAATTGGGAATGGGCCCATTATGTCACTATAGCTCCCTGACTAAGGAAAATCTAACTATCTCTTTTTCTCAAATGTTTTTTTTCACTAACTTGATTTATTTGACCCTCTCTAACTTTATCTTTTGTTCTGTCTCTCTGAGAGTCTATTTCTCTATCTGTTTCTCTCTGTCTTTTTTCCAGGCATATATTATACCTGCACAGATTGGTACATAAATACATTTAACCTTTGTAATACAGTTTACACACGCACTTTCGCCCACAAAATATACAGTCAATTCACTTTAGAGTACATTCTGTAAAGTGCTTTGAGACATTTCGAAGACCTGATAAGGATTATTACAGTCAATTGCATTCATCTAATTTTCTTTGGCTATTTCAGACATGTGCATCAGATGTTGGAGTCAGTAAGCCAACTGGGTGGCATTCTACTGTAATGTAGAAGTTTGGAAAATGTCAATCTTAATTTGACAGCTGGTTTACTACAACCGTTTATAGAACTGTAGACACCTGCTTCTAAATTAGAACTGAATTGAGATTTTACGAAATCTGCCCAATGTTAAATGTTAATATAATGGCCTTAAGGCTAAGGTCATGAGAAATGTCATGTCTGAGGTCAGCATCTATCTAACGTTTCACTGTTTAAATAAACTTTGTTTTGTTGGTACATCATGTTGCTCTTCATCTTTACCAATGAACCCCTTACAATGTTGTCAAATTACCCTCTCGCAGAGATATTTTCTGAAAAAAANTTGTCTACACTAACCAAATAACATTGGTCCAATTTACACAAAGGTATTGCAATTGGTCATTTTATAAAAATAAGAAGCAATCACATCTGCCATGTTAGCTATCACCAGCTGGTCATTTTAAGTTGGGGAAGCAATGTAAAAATGGATAGAAATGTAATCAGATATTATTCTAAGATAGAAAGTAGGATTTAGATCCTGCCTTACTTTTGGTAAACATATAGGTGGCATCTTAAAACAATTGAAAAATTCTGCACCTGCTGATCTCTGGCAACTGAATTTATATTTAGACAATACAAATGTGTAAAATCACTCTCAGAAGCCACAATGTAAAGACAAACACACGAAAAACAGGAAAATATTCTGAATTGTAAAAGTTATGGTCACTTCTGTAGCAGAAGCAGAGTCTCAGATCAGTGAAGCAAATGCGCCAAATATTTCAAATTCACTTAGTTTTCTGTGTGGTCAATGTGCAATTAATGGATAATTGAGAAAACCATGCATAGTAAAGTGCTTTCTGGGAGAACTGCTGAATATACTGCTGAATATTAGTATTGTAAATAAAAGACACGCATTTCTTTATAGACTGATATCTATGAAGCCACCTGAAACGCATTCTGTTGAAGTATCTATTGTGGAGGTTTACAATAATGAAATTATTGACCTGCTGGCGAAAGATGAAAGTGGAGCTGTTTTAGGTGTAAAACGAGAGGTTATGACAATGACTACTGGTGGCAGTGATGTTCCCTTCCTGTCTTATGAGTAAGTATTGCACAAGGTGAAGTATTTGAATATAACATTCAATTGTATTTTTATACTCTGAATGCAAATTAAGAATTACAGCATTAAGTAAATGAGAACTCCTCAGTTCTATCATACTTTGTACCATACGAGGTGAAGTTTGACCAAACTTGCTTTGGTATTATACTGGTTCAGCATAGTCCAGTTAAGATTAACCTACGTATTATGGCTCAGGCACATAAAGCTATTAGCAAATTCTTAAATTCAGCCTTCTGGCCCACACATCCACTCTTAACCCACCAAAGTAGTAGTGTGAGCCAGTAATGTCAGTGTCAGCTGGGTATAGTAATAATAATAATCCTTGCATTTGATATAGTACCTTATCACATCTTCGAGATGTCTCAAAGCCCTTCAGAGAATATGCTGTAAAGTGAATTGCCTGTATATTTTGTGGGCTAAACAGCCAATTGCGCACAGCAGCATCCCACAAACAGCCGTGGATTGAGTGACCAAATTTTTTTTTTAAGCAATTATTATCCCCAGAAAAGCGATCCGCCAATCAACTAACAACTGGGTTCCTACTTACTGCTAGGTAAACAAAGGCGTGTGGAGTAAGTAAACTTGCCCAATGTTTTGCTCTGCACAGGAATCAAACTCAGGTCTCTCTTGCGCTTGCGAGGCGAGTGCTCTAACCACTGAGCTACAGGACTCCACTGTATAGAACTGTGAAGGGCATTACAACCAATCCTATTCAGCCACACATCATTTCTCATAAGGGATACTAGATGGCATCCACTCAGGTACAGGGAGCCAGATGAGGATGGAAGGAATGGGCTTGGGGAGCACACAGAGATAGTGATTCATAGTAGAACCTCAATTTGAATTATTGTCTCCTTAGCCTGAGACTCCATCATTTATTTTGAATGCCAATTTGGGACTGCCACCTTAACTGGAGCACAATTAAAATGGCTTCTGAAGACTACATTCTCAGCTGACAACTGCAGGAACGTGTTATTTTTGCGTTAAACAATATTTTTGAATTTGCAGATATGCCAAGAATCCAACTGACATTCTGAATTTTGTAACCCATGGGCTACGACATAGAGCCAAGCACGGGACACTGGTCCACGCACATTCCTCTCGATCGCACCTTGTGGTGACACTTACTGTCACGACAAAGATCACAACAGCTAATAGATCTGGTAAAGAAGCTGCTCATTTAAATTTTCCATATTTTGCCGCTTGGTGAACCTTTTCAGTTTAGAATTTTATTGTTCCTCATCCCATACATGAAAGCCATCACCTAACTGTCTTGAGCTGATTCCCACATAGCTCTGTCCATCCAGTTGTGGCTTCTCAGCTATGTCAGCAACTTCTCATTGTATCATTGATCACTTTAAGCTTTTCCCTGTTGCATCTCTATAGCTCTGCATTTTTCTAGTTTTCCCCCTTACTTGTCCTAATGTTTTCACTTTGTCTCATCTCATGTTTTCCCCTCATTTCCTTGTATGTTCAACAACAACTTGCACTTACATAGCACCCTTCACGTGCGGTAGCATCCTGGAGTGCTCAAGTACCTTTCATGTAATGGGAACGTCTCAAAGCACTTTACGAAGACAGAGGGAAAGACTGAACTAGCAGGGAGCAAGGGAGGTCGGGGAAAAAAGGCTATAGTTCATTCCAAGAGCCGGGTCTTTAAGTCTGTCTTTGTAAAGTGCTTTGAGATGTTCCCATTACGTGAAAAGATATAAATGAAAATTATTGTTGTTCCAGATGCGCTTATGGAAAGCATGCCCCAATTCAGTACATTTCAGCCATCAAGTCGTCGATTTCGCAAGCCTATGCCTTATATCACAGATGACAACTTAGCACTGCGTTCCCAATCTTCATACCTGACATACTTATCCACAGACCCTTCAGAGGGTTTCACCTATCTTAAAACAAAACTTCAGTTGGTGGATCTAGCTGGCAGTGAATGTGTGGGTAAGCAACCATTACTAAACCCTTGCCTTTAATTTTGGGGAGGAGGATCACAGTGTATTCACTTTTCCTCCCTATTTGTTAAACAATAATAATAATAATCTTTGCATTTGATATAACACCTTATCACATCTTCGAGACGTTTCAAAGTACTTCACAGAATACACTGTAAAGTGAATTGACTGTATATTTGTGGGCGAAACACGGCAACCAGTTGCTCACAGCAATGTCCCACAAACAGTTGTAGATTGAGTGACCACATTTTTTATTTTTTTTACTATCCCCGAAAAAGTGATCCGTCCCTCGTGTAACAACCAGGTACCTACTGACTGTTACGTAAGGGGTAGGTGGAGTAAGGGAACTTTCCCAGTGTTTCGCCCTGCCGGGATTTGAACCCAGGTCCTCTCACTTGTGAGGCGAGTGCTCTAACCACTAAGCTACAGGACTAAATCTAAAATAAGTTTAAAAAAAGATAAATCTCTTACTTGCAGAGGGAGCTGGATATGTTAAAATATAAATAATACCTTAATGAGATCTCATTGTGTGGGTATTTTTCAAATCATTTAATAATAATAATCCTTACATTTGATATAGTGCCTTATTACGTCATATATCAAAATGCTTTACAGGATATACTGTGATTATTTTGTGAGTGAATGTGGAGGCCAATTTGCGCACAGCAATGTCCCACTAACTGGGGTTTCTAACTGGGATGGATATTTTTCTTGATTTGACGTAACATTTGTGCATATGTCAATAATGTATGAATGTACAGACTATTTTACTTTATACCAATTTTTTNAACCATCTGTGAGTTCTTTCTGTCAGGGATGTCAGGAGTGACAGGTGCAGCTTTGCGAGAGACTTCTTTTATAAATCGAAGCTTATCAGCACTATCTGATGTGCTTGGAGCACTTGCAGAACAACGCTCCCATGTACCTTATCGGAACAGCAAACTCACTCATCTACTCCAGGACTCCATAGGTAGAGAAAAACATCATTTCATCCACAATAATAGCCTCAAAACATCAACATCTGAATATTGTGTACATTACTATTTCTTTTTGTGTTGCACAGTTAAGATCCAGTCTTAAGGGAAGGGCCGAATCATTGAACATTTTCCATAAGTATCCTTATGGAGATTAATGTGTGTAATAGGAAAGCATAGACAGACATGTTCCCAAAACATACCATGGCACTTAGGATTGAATAAACTTGGTATGTATTGTGATCCAGTAATAAAGGAACTTCAGGCTAACTGTACAAATACGTGAGGATAAGATACAAACAACTGGCTTTTATAAATATGAACATGCTTTTTTCTCTAGGAGGTGATGCTAAATTGATGGTGATGCTGTGTGTCTCACCTGCCCAGCGCTATATTACAGAATCATTGCAGTCTTTAGGATTCGGTGCTCGGGCTCGGCAAGTACAGAGGGGCCACATAAGGAAAAAAGTTCCAGGTACAAGCGAATTTTGTCTTTTTGCACTGGGTTGACCTATGATGGCGAATAGATTTTCTTTTTTCATTAGTTATTATTTGGTTATCCTCCAAAAAACAATGCATTATACCATTGATATAAACTTGATACGTACACCTTGGGTATAAGGTGTTTAGCATTAATTTAGGATTTTCTTCTGAGGTTTTATCATTGTCGATGTTGTGTATCTGTTTGTGCTTTCTGGCTTTTTTTACATGAAACATGCATGTTAACTTCATAAACCTGGAGGTAAAATCTTTTATTTGGGTGGTGTTATAGAGATGCTCTAACTTTAATTTGACTTTTCTATTCATTTATGACTTGTAGAGAACACTGGAGGAAGACCATCACAAAATCCCTTCCACAGCAATCGGCGAAATATATCCAGCTTTACTTAATTCTTAAGTCATCTGCTGAATACCACACCATACTGCTTTAGAAATGTATCAGACTAAGCTCACTCTACAATTTCAATATCGAAAGGAATAACCCTGTTTTCAACACTGAGAAATTGCTTTGCATTTTTCGTCAAATATCCAACAAGTTTTAGTTTGATCATTTTGTTGGGAAGGAATAAAGGAATACAAAGTGTGTTTTACTCAGTAGATTAATACCCCCAAAAAGTTAACTTCAGTGAAATCACTTTATTTAAGGTGATCACTTTGTAGCATAACTGTAACAATGAAATAATTCTAATAGAGCACTGAAAAAAAATCATCTCCAAGCATAATTCTTTTGCTTTGAAGAACAATCAGTAAAACTTCTATTGAAAAAGATGATCTTGGTTTTCCTGATGACCAAGTGAGTAAAGGACTGCCCAGTGAGCTCTAAGCCATAGAGACTGAAGTTTGCGGATTTCATTTCAAACTGCTGAGTTTTTTGATGTTGTGCAGACTAGTAGTTGGAAGTACTGCAATTGTCGTTATTATGAAATAAAATGAGCTATAATTCCTATGAAGATAGGATCCGATATAGCTGTGTCGCACTTCACAGTCAAACTGCCCGCAGAAACTGCCTCGGCTCATTCCTGAAGTACAGACACAAGAGATAACTGGTGATGCAAACACCCATGGAACCATACTGGAAGACTCTGAATCTTCAGGACAGAGGGAGGTGACAAAATTGACCAAAAAGGAGAAGAAAATTATTGTCTTTATTATCATAAAAATCTTTTAAACAAATGTTTTTACAAAATGTTAGCATTTTTTTGAAAGTAATATATAAAACCAGCTGTACCCGTTGCGGCTACGCTTGCAACCAGTTTCATTTCATTTCTCTTTTTCTACTGGCATTTTTATTTGCCCTTGAAAGGCTTGATCTTCGCTTCTTAGACATCTTTATCCCTTAAGATTAAGAAAATATGCTATTGAATTTGTTAGCGTCCCTTGTTCACACCTTGCAACATATTCTTTTGGGACAACGCCTGTTGGGAGGATTCATTGGGAGGCCTTGTGTGGGAGGACTTCTGGTTGGGAGGACTCCCGACACACAAACAAACATTTCGTCTTTATTAGTGTAGATGTATCTCTCCAGAAGGGGGTGTGACCTCTGCCGCGACTGTGTTGCAGAATACCATGCATACTTTTTTCGGACTTAATTAAAGGACCTGGGGATCCTGATTGATGATAAATTGAAGCTATAGCAACTGCTCAGTAGCAGTGAGTAAGGCAAACCGGATGCTGGCTGTATTAAAAGGGCAATATTGAACCAAAACTGGGGTAATTCTGCCACTTTATAAATCACTGGTGTGACCGACAGTTCTGGTCACCGCAATATAAAAAGGATATTGCAGCGATTGTGAGGATACAGAGGGGGGCAACCAAAATGATTGAGAGGATGCAGGGACTGGACTACGAGGAGCAATTAGATAAACTGACCGTGTTCACACTGAGAAGAGAAGGTTGAGGGCCGATGTGATTACGGTCTTTAAGATTCTGAAGGGAATAGATAATGTAGACCATGATAAGCTGTTTTATCTTGTGCTGAACAGTAGAACCAGAGGACACAGCCTGCGATTGAAGGGAGGGTGGGGGGGTAAATTCAGAACAATTCTGCGGAAACTAATTTGCCCACAGCATATTAAACTCACAGACCTACAGTTGCTTGCTTTGAATAATGGAGTTACATTTGCTGCCCTCCTATCCGCTGGTACAATTCTTGAATCTATTAAACTTTGCAAAATAATAATTGAAACCTTTACAATTTCTTGCCTTATTTTAGTACCCTGAGCATGGAAAACACCTGGGTCTGGAGATTTGTCTGGCTTCAGACCAATCCTTTACTATTATCCTTTACTATTTATTGTTTTTATTACATTGCCTTCATTACATCAAGGCTCGACTATGCAAACTCACTGTTTGTTGGCCTCCCCAACTCCTCCCTCCACAGGCTGCAGATCATCCCGAACTCTGAAGTCCGTGTCCTCTCCCGCACCAGGCTTCATGACCCTATCACCCCCATCCTCGCCCGACTCCACTGGCTTCCCATCACACAGAGGTTACAGTTCAAGATCCTGGTCCTCACCTTCAAAGCCCTCCACGGTCTTGCTCCCCACTACCTCTCCGACCTCTTAACCTCCTACCACCCTGTTCGTTCCCTCCGCTCAGCGGGCTCTGGTCTGCTTCAGGTCCATCGCTTTGCTCGCCCCACTATCGACTGGTAGGCCTTCCGCTACTCTCTGGAACTCCATTCCGCAGTCCCTCCGTCTCGTCCCCTCCCTCGCCACCTTCAAGACCCACCTCAAGATCTTCTTCTTCGACCATGCTTTCGATCTCCTTGATTCCCCCCCTGCCGTCCCCCCTCCCCCACCCTGACTCTCAGCTCGGGTCCATAACTCTGTCCAGCGCCTTGGGACGTCCTCCCGACATGAAAAGCGCTATACAAATGTAATTTTGTTGTTTTATTATTTATAATTAAGTCTTTTAAGTTTTTCCCCTTCTCTGAACTCATCAGTGATTTTCCTTTCCTGTGGGAGATTTCTGACATGTACTTCCTTGTGAACTTACTATCCCTGAAATATAGATCTGTTTAAACAAAATACAATTATATCAAGAAGCAATATTTATACTATATATATATATGTATTTATATATATATGCCAGAGTGTTGTGATCGTTGAGCTGAAATGTAATGTCAGGGTATGTAAATTATTTGGACATGCAAAATCTGTTAGGCAAAAGATTTTGCTATTAGAAAGGAAGCCAAAGGTGATGCACACTATAACCAGAAAGGATTGTCGACATCAACTCAACTATTTCCAGTTCTGAGGATATTATACAACTCTAGGATACAGCAATTCCAGGAATGCTTCAAGTATGGAGAATTCATCTTGTATAGGTGATTGCATTCTTACAAAATCAGAATACAAGTACATTGTTTTCCCTGTGATTTACTCCTTTATAATTGCATCCGGACTACCTGCAAATATTGCTGTCCTTTGGTTCTTAATGCAAAGCTGCAAGAGGAATAGACTGAATGAAGCCAAAATCTATATGATTAACCTAACCGTGGCTGATCTTCTGTTCATCATAGGTCTTCCATTCTGGATTGTGTACTACATTCGACAAGGGGATTGGATATTTTCCAGCTTCATGTGCAGCCTCAGTGGATCTCTGTTTTATATCAACACCTATAATTCTCTCTTCTTTCTGGCTCTCACCAGCTTCAGCCGTTACTATGCTGTATCACAGCCCCTAAGGGCCGCTCAGTCAAAAAAGAGAATAAGAGGTCTCGTCATGTCTTCTGCGGTCTGGATGATAACAGTGGGTTCATCTTTTCCTGTGATAATTCGTAATGAGCAGTACATAAGCACAGAGATCACTAACTATGGAAATGTTTCAAGATGTTTCGAAATCTATTCCGGAGAAAACAATACAGTGGAGATAGTGCTCAATTTTGCCATGATCTCTGCATTCATTTTGTCATTCGCAGTTGTTATTGGATGCAGCGCAGCCATCCTCAAACTATTAAGTGACAACGGGATCCCAATTACTTCACAAAGAGGGGTGAAGAGACAGGCTTTACGAACGGTAATTGTTATACTGATTGTCTTTTTCATTTGTTTTATCCCACATCATGTGGTCAAGGGGCCGTGGGTGCTGATATTTTTGGGTACATGGGAAACTAGAGACTGTGTCTTCAAGCAAGTCTTGAATGACTTTTATCAGATCAGTTTTTGCATCATGAATATCAACTGTATTTTGGATCCCATTGTTTATTCTTTTCTGAGTAGAAATTTCAGGAATTCTGTAAACAAACTGAGGCATTCATTGAGACAGAGCTTAAAATCGAGGATGCCTACTCCCCATGAGTCTGCACAAGGGAACTCAGTCGATATGAATGTAAGGAGAAATAATTAAATTAATTTCCCCCCTTCATGCTGTTATTTTCTCCCACACGAGGTTCCTACCCTGAATGTAGCAATCCTGACTGAACACAGTCAGATTATGTGCACCTAAAACTCAGATCTGGTTGCCAAGATATTCATGAGAACAGCATAGACCAGTTAACTGTTTGATATTTCACCCTCTCTTACTTTGTTCAACAAATAACTGGCTAAGTTTAGGAATTTCCAACATCGGGAAATTCAAGGGAATTGAACCAAAGTTTTGTAAAATGTTATTTAATTAAAAAGCTTTTCAATTTTGCAGTTTCTGATTTCAATTGTGGATAGATTCGGAAATTCATTTGACTACTTTTACTGTGCCTGTCATATATTCCTTTAGGATATGACATGTAAATGTGAAGTGTGGAAATAACTGCTCATGGGCAAGCCTGCTGATAAAAAGTCAGAGAGATGAGAGCCTATACTGAGAACCTACACCTGAGTTAGTAGGTCAGGAAATTGGCTGTGTACATTGTGTTAATCAGCCTTCGAATGGTATCATTATTTCTCGTGATCTCAAAAAACTGAACAAGAAAGGTTGACTTTCCTGTTCAGTTTTTTCTTTTGCAGTAGTTAAATGATGGTGATTCCTCAGCCTCAGACCCTACATTGGATCCCACCCCATAATTTGTAGAGGAAATTGTAATATGATATTCCAGTTATTTATACTACTCCACCCTGGATCATGTAAATCCCAGTAGTACCTCAGGTTTCAAGGTTCAGATATTCCAAGTGTCATGGCTGGGAGAAGCAAATGAGTATATGTGATGAAGAAAACATTATTATCAAATGGCTTGTTCACACATCTGTTACGTAACTATATAGTGCTGTACCTTAAATTTGGAAGTACCAGAATTAGTAGCTTGACCATGCGGAAGAAACATGCACACAATTTGTTTGTGAAATCAGTCCATAACTTGTGTGGCAACTGCCTTCAACTGAATACAATAACTGATACAGTCGTTTCCAGGCAGTGGTGTTGAAAAGGCAGAAAACTCCAAAATGGTATTGAGGTGACTGCCCCTACAAAAGCCACTGAGAATTTGGGTGGAATATTAACAGATATCCCTGCTATTTATGGGGTACTTTAGGTTGTACTAGGTGGTTGATTCAGGCTGGCTTTAATTTTCTTGCAAATTTGTTCAAATAAATTGTTATGGAAGATCTGTGAAAAATTTTCAGAAAGCTATCACCACTGCACTCAAACTACAAGGGTTGATGAAATAGTGCCATTCACCGGCAGTATACATGTTGCAGTGGAGCCCTGGACCTACAGCTGAAATATTAAACCAATGCCTATTGAAGTAAACAATAAACAATAAAGGTGTTGTGATACTACTTGAAAAACTGTGTTGTGTGTTGTGATACTCCCTTAAAAACTGCCACCATCACGCCCACCCTGAAAAAACCCTCCCTTGATGCGTCGCAGCTATCAAGCTACCGGCCCATCTCCAACCTCCCCTTTCTCTCCAAGCTCTTGGAAAGAGTTGTCGCCTCCCAACTGCGCTCTTTCCTTTCCACCCATTCTCTTTTCGAACCCCTTCAGTCAGGTTTCCGTGCTGCCCATAGCACAGAAACTGCCCTGGTCAAGGTCACCAATGATATCCTGACCATCTGTGACCAGGGCTCCCTCTGCCTCCTCGTCCTCCTCGACCTATCGGCAGCATTCGATACGGTCGACCACGCTATCCTACTCCACCGCTTGTCCTCCCACCTCAACCTTCAAGGCACTGTCCTTGAGTGGTTTAGGTCGTACCTTTCTCACCGTCTTCACTTTGTCTCGACGAATGGCTTCTCCTCCACCCCCCGTACTGTCTCATGTGGTGTCCCTCAGGGCTCTGTCCTCGGTCCCCTCCTCTTCACCCTCTATATGCTCCCCCTGTGGTGACATCATCCGCAGACATGGAGTTAACTTCCACATGTATGCGGATGACACCCAACTCTACCTTTCCTCCTCTACTCTCAACTCCACGACCACCGATGTCCTGACAGCTGCCTGTCCGACATCGAGTCCTGGACGAGAGACAACTTTCTTCAGCTCAACGTGCGAAAAACCGAGGCCCTCCTGATTGGTTCGCGTCAGCGCCTCCGCACCTCAGGCGCCGACACCATCAGCATCCAAGGCTGCACTCTCCACCTCTCAAAGCCAGTCAGGAACCTCGGCGTTTTGTTCGACCCTGAGCTGTCCTTTCTCCCTCACATCCGCACCACAACTGGCACCGCCTTCCATCACCTCCGGAACATCGCCAGACTACGGCACTACCTCACCCCTCACGCTGCTGAAACCCTGGTCCACGCCTTTGTCACCTCAAGGCTGGACTATGGGAACTCTCTCCTCGCCGGCCTTCCCGCCACCTCCCTCCACAAGCTGCAGGTCATTCAGAACTCTGCAGCTCGTGTACTGTCCCGCACCAGGCTTCGGGACCACATCACTCCCACCCTCGCTCGCCTCCACTGGCTCCCCATCCCCCAGAGGATTAATTTCAAGATCCTCATCCTCACCTACAAGGCCATTCACGGCCTTGCTCCCTCCTACCTCTCCAACCTACTATCCCCCTACCTACCTGCCCGTACCCTCCGTTCCTCCGGCTCCGGTCTGCTCCACGTCCCCCGCCCCAATCGCCCTACCATCGGTGGTCGGGCCTTCAGCCTCTCAGCCCCGAGGCTCTGGAACTCTATCCCCCAGTGCCTTCGCCGCTTCCTCCCTCTCCTCCATCAAGGCCGGTCTCAAAACCTTTCTCTTTGACCGAGCCTTCAGCTCCCCTCTCGACTCTCTACCCCCTCCTCGCTCCCTCCCTTCCCTCCCCTCACCCTGACCATTTCCCCCCTGCTCGCTCCCTCCCTTCCCTCCCCTCACCCTGACCATTTCCCCCCAATGCTCGGGTCATGACCCAACTGTGCAGCGCCTTGGGACGTCCTCCTGACATGAAAGGCGCTTTATAAATGGAATCTTGTTGTTGTTGTTGTTGAAAAGAGAAAGGAGTTTTCCCCAGTGTCCTGGCCAGCAATACACCAGATAAAATTAACGACACTTTGTGGACTGTTCATAGAATCATACAATCATACAGCACAGAAGGAGGCCATTCAGCCCATCATGTCTGTGCCAGCTCTTCTAATACAGCTATCCAATTCAATCCCACTTCCCCGCGCTCTCCCCATAGCCCTGCAAACTCGTCCTCCCTGGTTGCTATGTGGAAAATGGTTGCTGCATTTGCCTACAAATACTATAGTCGCTGTAATTGACAGCAATTTCCTGTAAGCCACTTTGATATGTTTCAACATTAAAGGCACTAATGCAAAGAGTTAAATGTAAAAAAAAAATTAGTTCTAGTGAATCCTTCACTCTCATACTGTAGTGCCACTAACAGCTGCATCTCAGTGTATGACTACAGTACTTCAATCCTGGCATAGAAATGTCTGAAACTATGGAAGTAATGGGCAGTAATAGAAATTCTCTTCTGAACCCCCATAGCACCTTGGGGGTGGGGGAAACTACTTCTTCTCCATAGGACTACGACTCCAACTCTACAGCACTCAAATTGAAGTTCACACAAGCACTTTGTGTGACAGCATTATGGACTTTTCCCCCATGTCTTTATCCACAAAAGCACATTTCGTTTGGACACATCAGCATATGTTTCGACTGTTGTACAATATATAGCAGAAGCATATAAGGTTATGTACAAATAGGGGAGACCTTGATTGGAACATTAGACTATAAATAATAATCCTTACATTAGCATTGTTCACTTCAGGAGGACGTCCCAAAAGCACTTCACAGGATATACTGTAAAGTGTAGTGACTGTGTTTTGTGGGTGAATGTGACAGCAATGTCCCACAAATAGTCATGATGGGAATGACCAAGCTTTTTGGGGGAATTGTTCGTCTGGACAATGGGAGAAACTCCCTTCTCTTTTCGAATAGTGCCACTTAAAATAGGCAGATTTGTGGACAGAACTGAGGTGTTCGGCAAATCATGACTCCCTGGTTCATTCCTCCATCACCACTTCAACTCTCCCTCCCACTCGCACTCTGACCTCTCCATCCATGGTCTCCTACTCTGTTTCGATGAGCTACAGCGCAAACTCGAGCAACAGCACCTCATGTGGAGTCCTGTGGCTCAGTGGTTAGAACAATCGCCTTGCAAGCGAGAGACCTGGGTTCAATTCCAGGCAGAGGGCGAAACCTTTCCTTACTCCACACCCCTAATGATAATCCCTCCAAAAAACCAAAACAATAATAAATTGGTCATTTTCAATCCACGACTATCTGCTAGGGACCTTACAACCCTCTGGCCTCAATATTGATTTCAATAATTTCAGACTATAACAGTTCATCTTCCCCCTCCCCCTCTTCTGTGACCATTACCACATCATCTGGGTCCCAGACACACCTTTTTTTTGTCTTCTTTGTCGTCCTTGCTCTGCCTCCCCCTCTCAACTTGTCCTTAAAAGCCTCTCCCTCCCAATTTGCCCCAGTTCTGACGAAGGGTCGTGGACCCAAAACGTTGACTCACTTTCCTGACCTGCTGAATTTTCCCAGCTCTCTGTTTTTGTTTCAGATTCCAGCATCTGCAGTATTTTGTGTTTTGTACACCTTTTCTCTCCCTGGTCCGCCTGTTTTGCTCCAATTTCTCCCCTGTTTGCAGTATTAGGACCTCTTTTCCCCTGTTTTGTTGCGATTCCCCACTTTGTTTTGCATCACTTAGGGTTAGGGTTAGGGTTAACCCTAACTCTTTAACCCATCATCCCCTGTCCTCTACCCCATTTTCTCCTTTGTCTTCCTTGCCCTGCCTCCCCCCTCTCTGTTAGTCCTTAAAAGCCTCTCCCTCCCAACATGCCCCAGTTCTGAAGAAGGGTCATGCACCCGAAATGTTGATTCACTTTCCTTTCTCCATAGATACTGCCTGACCTGCTGAGTGTTCCCAGCAATCTCTGTTTTTGCCTTGGTTTAATATCTTATCTGATGATGCAGTGCTCCCCCAGCTATGAGTTCCAGTTCCAAAGTGTGGCTTGAACCCACAACCTTCTCATTCAGAGGCGAGAGTGTAACCAACTGAGCTAGACTGACACAGACAATAATTGTAGACAGTAGAAAGTAACTTATCGTGTTTATGTGAAGTGGACTTACCCACTAGGCCATGAGATACAAGTCACAAACATTACAGGTTAAAAATGTTAAGTTCCCGGACTGTGAAATATTCTTGATGTAATTTCTTGTTGGGGAAATGAATAAGCAAATATTTCTTAAATAAAACCACATTTACAATGTGGGAGGGGTGAGAAGAGGAAGTTACAAAGAGAAATTGCACCAGGGCCATTTTCTAGATCTGAAGAAGAAGGAACCATCGACATTGCTTGTCTCTTGAACCAACTGAAGATTTTTACTATTGTTGAACAATGAAAATAGTATTTCTAAAATACTTGTCATTCTGCTACTAATTCTGAGACAGAAACAAAGTGATTGGACGGCGGAGAGGAAAATCTCACTAAAATCTCACAGCAGGAAGTCCACCTGTAATTGCATTGTGGAGATAAAGATCAAAAATTCAAATTGAAAACGCAATATGATTAATTGCAGTAAAGAAGATTTCTTTAACACTTCTGAATTCAGGTACATTGTTTTTCCAGTTATTTATTCATTTATATTTGCACTGGGGCTGCCTGCAAATCTTGCTGCACTTTGGTTTTTAATACGTAGGAACTCTAATAAAGAATTGAGTGAAGTCAAAATCTACATGATCAACCTAACTGCAGCCGATCTTCTGTTCATCATATTTCTTCCTCTCTGGATTAAGTATTACATTCAAGAAGGGAATTGGACATCTTCCAGCTTCCTGTGCAGCCTGAATGGATCTCTGTTCTATATCAACACTTACAGCTCTGTCTATTTTCTGGCTCTCATCAGCTTCAATCGCTATCGTGCTGTGGTACATCCACTCAGGGCTGCCCAATTGAGGCAGAAAATGAGAGGTTTCATTATCAGTACTGGAATCTGGATAGTGACAATCGCTTGGTCTTTGCCTGTTTTAATTTATCATAAGGAACATCTCAACAGAAGCAACAACTCAAATAAGTTCAGATGTTTTGAAAATTACCAAGACATGAACTCGGTATTCAAATTGAAAGTTACCCATTCTCTGGTATTAATTTGTTTCGTCATTGCATTCGGAGTGGTTATTGTAACCTGTATTCTCATCCTTCAAGTACTGTCAGCAACTCAGCAGGCATTAGGGAGTGCACAACGCAATCTGAAGAACCGAGCTTTCCGTATGGTGATTGCTGTGATGATGATTTTTATCATCTGTTTTGTTCCTCACCATCTACTGCAGGTGCCCTGGCTGCTGCTGGTCCTGGATGTCTGGAAGACAGAGGACTGCAAATTCAGGAAGAATATCAATGATATTCATCAGGTCACCTCATGTTTGATGAGCATCAATTGCATTCTGGACCCCATTATGTACTGCTTCTTGACAACCAATTTCAAGCAGTACATCACACAGTTCATGCAGACTTGCCGGGCTCTGTGTTCTCTCAGGCGCACTTCGGGAAATTAAGTTCAGATTAATTGCTAGGTGCACCCTGGCACCAACATAGTTTTGTTGCTTTTCCTCTTTGTTGAATGCAAATTAGCGCTTGTGACTGATAAATTGTAATCCACTATAAGAGAACGTTGATCCTGAAACACGGCTTCATTGTAAGGATTACTGCAGATCTTGTGGGTGTTTTGCCCTCAAAATACACAGTCAATTCACGTTACAGTATATTCAGTAAAGTGCTTTGAGTCGTCTCAAAGACGTGATAAGGTGCTATATCAAATGCAAGGATTATTCCATCTGCCTTCTCAGCAACGCCCCACTCAGCAAAGAAACTCCAACCAAAGAGGAGAGGAGCAGCTCAAGCCTGACCTCTTGTGGCTCTAATTATCAATTGACCATTGTAAAACTAGATGAGCAGGATTTGGGTTAGTTATTTCACAACTGATTACTCAATTCCATTCCTGCATTGTCAGTATCAGGAAATAAATCAGTAAACTCCATTTGATATCGTGACTGCCAGCAGGAAGGAATATCTGACCAGTAAATATTTGTAAAAGAAACGTTATTGTTGCAAATCATGTGCTTCATATAATGAATAGTTTGTATTGGATAACTGTGCATCTTAGTCTGGCGGAGATGCTTGTAAGATATACCAATTTTTTTGCCAGCAGGGCAATATGAGTAATTACTTTAAATATGAGTAATTTCATCTCTTGTGACTCATGTTCTGAACTTTTTTCTTTGCCTATGGAAAGATATCTGCCCTCACAGCACCTCCCATCATGGCTGAGATCAATCCCACAGGATGTGGTAAACAGCAGGTATAAACTTCAGGGTTGCCCAGAGTGGCATACTGTGAACTGAACACCCTTAAAACTGAATGGTCAAGTCATTATTGATCAAATGTTAAGAAACGTGTTGTCATCTGCCTGACCTGCTCAGTGTTCCCAGCGATCCCTGTTTTTGTGCCATCTTTAATGTTATAATAATAATAATAATCCTTGCATTTGATATAGCGCTTTTCACATCTTCTAGACGTCTCAAAGCGCTTCACACAGTAGACTGTAAAGTGAATTAACTGTATAATTGTGGGCGAAACGCGGCAGCCAATTGCGCACAGCAGTGTCCCACAAACAGTCGTGGATTGAAATGACCAATTTATTTATTTTTTTNCTTGAGGGATTATTATCAGGCGTGTGGAGTAAGGAAACTTGCCCAAGGTTTCACCCTGCCAGGTGAAATAAATATTTTCAGAATATAAATAAATATGTTCAAAATATTTCTTAACATTGTGAATTAACTCTTATTTGATCGGGTTCAACTGCTATTTGTTGAAACTAGTTCTAGTCATTATTTATCTGTCTGAGGAGATTGTCCCAAACATTTCTGCTTATTGAGAATTAGATCCCACTGATATTTACCTTGGTCCTCATTTTGTTAATTATTTTTCAGCTTCACTGTCTCTAAGAGACAGATGCTATGGAGAATCCACATATTGAAAGAGATATTCTCCGCTTGCTAGTACACTTACTGACCTTCGCATTCTGTGTGTTTTAATTTGCACTTGTCAGTTTAATGTTACAACACCAGAGGCAATGCAGCACTCCCTCCATTATGTTCTGGTGGTGAGTAACATGAGGACAAACAAGTGGACAAAACCCAGATTAGTAAACATCTTGGAAGCAGATAATAATTTCCAAATTGATTTTTTTTAAATAGTCTTCTTTTCACATCCCAAGCATGTGCGCAAGCTTTTCTAAATGTAAAAAAAAGAAAGTAAAAAATTGTGCTAACGAGATTGGGTATGCAAAGAAGACGACAAAATAAATGTATATACAGTAAATAATTTGTCCAATTGGCATCAGGCCAAATGTTATCCTTTAGATGAAAACCAAGAGTGAAATTTTGCTCCTTGTGTTTAAGTGGGGCGGGGTGGGAGGGGGAGGTGAGGGAGGAATTGTTTCCCAAGGTATCCACTTATTGAAATCTAAAACAGTGTTCTCGATGGGCTTCAAAAACTGATTCTACAGTAACTCAATATATCGCTCCAACCTGTAGGCAGGCACTGCCCTCTGATTTGTTCTCCTTTCAGGGTGTGTCAGAGCAGAGTTGTCATGACACACAATCAGTTATTGGTACCAAGTGATATTTAAAAATCCTTTTCGAATCCTGTTTCTACTTCCGCATTTTAGACGTCAAATGTCAACTTTTAATACCAGGCGGTTTATTCTGTTCCATTCATACAAAGCCAGAAATGACTTGTGAATCTATGCAACTGTGGATTCAATCTAGTGATAAAGTAACAATAAAGTAATAGATTAGATCCTGCAAATAGCCCTGGTGATGGTGTGGGCTTGGATGCCTGTTACATATTGATTCTGTAATTTACTAGTTGCCAAGAAACAACAACAATTTACTGTTATCGTGCATTTCACATAGGGGGAAGGTCACTTTACAAAGACTGACTAGGAACTAAGCTATGTGTGTGTATGTGTTTGGGGGGTGGCCAAGAGCTCAGCCGAACCAACAGATCTTACGGTGGGTTTTGAAAGCAAAAAGGGCCGGAGGGGTTGATATGGAAAAATTCCAGATGGCAGGAGCCGAGTGGCTGAGAGCTCGCCTGCCAATTCTGAGTTAGAGTGAGCGGAGGCATGATGCAGTCCACAATCATTCTAGTACCACTGTGTGTGCCGGACTGATGTCGTCTCTCGCCTCTGAGTCAGAAGGTTGTGGGTTCAAGCCCCATGTTGGGACTTGGAATCACATAGTTTAAGCTGACGCTCCAATGCAGTGCAGGTGTTTGTTGCTTCATTGGAGGTGCCGCCCCTTCGGATTGTGTGTCAGGAATCAGGTCCTGGATGAGAGCCAATTTTCTCCAATTGAATGTCGACAAGACCAAGGCTCTCCTTCTTCGCTGCCATCAGCGCCTCCTCACCTCAGGCACTGACAGCGTCATGCATGCACTGCGGGAGGGAGGGATAAGTGCTCTGAGATGCTACCCTGCTTGAAGGGCACTATATTGTTGTATATAAGGCGAGTTGTTGTTGGAACTCCATCCCCTTCGACTCATCCACTCTCTTGTCTCCTTCAAGGCCCATCTCAAGATCTTCTTTGTCAAATGTGCCTTTGATCATCATCCCACCCCCATCCACTTGCCCTCCACCTCTTTCTGCTCCCAACCCGCAACCAGGATGCAAATCCCTTATTGTCCTGCTTGTTGGGATATTCTCCCGACGTGAAAGGCGCTAAATAAATGCAGTTTATTGTTGTTGTTTGTGGACTGCCTAGTGCAATTGGCTGCCACAAAATACAGTCAATCCACTTTACAGAATATCCTGTGAAGCGCTTTGAGACATCTCAATAATAATAATAATAATCCTTGCATTTGATATAGCGCTGTTCACGTCGGGAGGACATCCCAAAGAGCTTCACAGAATATACTGTAAAGTGAATTGACTGTATATTTGTCGGCGAACGTGGCAGCCAATTGTACACAGCAGTGTCCCACAAACAGTCATGGATTGAAAATGACCAATTTATTATTGTTTTGTTTTTTGGAGGGATTATTATTAGGCGTGTGGAGTAAGCAAACTTGCCCAAGGTTTCGCCCTGCCTGGAATTGAACTCAGGTCTCTCACTTGCAAAGCGAGCGCTCAAACCACTGAGCTACAGGACTCCAATGGCACGAAAAGGCCCTATATCAAATGCAAAGATTATTCTTAATCTTATGATTGCTTCATTAGTTCTTTGACTGGTTGATGTATCCACATGCTTTGTGGTTTTATTTGTTGTATCTCACTTTCCTATATTTGTAATTTTTTTGAAAATGTATTAAAAGTTTATTTGGAAAATAAATTGTTTAATCGAAGAAGTCATTTTGTAAGGTCTTTTCTTATGCTCTTATTTTCCAGGTTCAACCGACTGTCATGTGATAGTAAATTTCTATCACCCTCCCCTGAGCCTCTCAGCAGCCTCTGTTAAGGTCAGATATCCTAGATGATGTGAGCTTTGTCAAAATAAATGGTCCCAAGAGTGTGTGTCCATTCAGTAAACTGCTGAAAGGTTTGCAGATTTGCAGTTTCCGACCTATGAGTCAGGAGCTGTTCAAGAGCCTGACATCTGCCCTGTGTTTAGCCTTGAGCATTGTCTTAACATCACACTGTACTTTGGAATATTATACATTTCAGTCTTAACCTGGAAGTCAGTTTTCTGAACTTCTGTTCTTCTTTTGGCAGCATCCAAATCAAAATTGATTTGCAATTTCTGAGCTGTGAGATAGTTTCACAACACCCCCGCCCACCCCTGGGGGTCTGTGCCCAAAGCACAGCAGTTCCACAATGTCTGGGGTTTGATGCATTCAGGAGAGAATCGTGCAGCTACTCGATTTGCTCAGGAAAAGTTTTCAAAAAATTGCCTGTTTTTTTTTAATGTAGCATGAAGAAGGAATTACAAAGAGCAAACAGGGGGATTTATTGCTATGTTGATCCTGAATCGCCCAGATAACAGATATGTCTCTTGCATGGCACGTAATTTACATGTACATTTCTTTTGCTGATGAATTACCAAGATTTGGAAGTAATCCCTAATACAGGTTTGCTAAATTTCACTTGAAAATTAACAGACTGGTCGACATGACAGTCATCTCCAGATATGTCTCTGTGTGCTTCTGCGGGGGGTAGGTAAAACGTGGTGTGCGTCCCTCACAGCATACCATCAAAAGGTAAGTTATGCAAATGGCAGTTGCACTTTAAATAAAATTAGAAAAGGACTGTTAAGACGTGGTGTCCTTCAGATGAAATTTTAAACCAAAGTCCCATTTGCCTGTTCAGAGTGCATCCATGAATAGTGACGCTGTCAGCGTCTGAGGTAAGGAGGTGCTGATGGAAGCCAAGTCGGAGGGCCTCGGGATTGTCAACGTTCAGCTGGATACATTACATATCCACCAACAGAATCAAAACTGTCATTGCGGTAGAGATACTGGAGAGGCCGAGTTCAGAGGATATGCACCCCCATGTGTT